TATTAATATTATCTGAACGTTACTACAGTCTACATTGAAATTGTTTTTGTCTGCTTCTGAACACGAGACTGTATTTCGCCTTCGTCCTTACATGTTACGGCTTCATTAATTGCCAGCCTATCAGCTGTCTTCCATATTTCTGGAATATGATGTACAAAAAATCCAGTCTTCCATTTTGCGAAAGCAGACATGTTGATTGTAATTGTATGTTTTAAAGTAACATTGCTGTAATTATGTACTGTAAAATGCACTGTAAGAATAAACTAATTTGTTGCGTAAAACCTGATATGTACATACTTTCATTTCCTGCGACAGAGACATGGATCATGTCGTGTGTGTATTTAATTTCTGTGTAAACTTTCATCTGAAGATGTTTGATTGCAATGTGTATCACTTTTCAGTGCATGCTGGGAAATTTTGGAAATCCAATTCATGTATGTGTCCAATGTATTAAGAAAATGTTTTGATTTCTTGCCTGTTTTGATGTTTTTCTGTTATAAGTTGATTTTTGTTGTTGTTGAACTTTGTGGTATTTGTGCAGTGTTTCTCCATAAGTATTGATTTCAGTTTCGTCAAGTTGGCAAATTCCGGAAACCAACCACTGGGTAGACCAAGAAGGAGATAGAGGATAATATGAAGATGGATCTTAGGTAGATGGGTTGTGAGGATGGTAAGTGGATGGAGTAGGCTCTGTGTCGTGGCTGGTAGCAAGCCTTGATGTTGTCGATGTTGGACCTGCAGGTTCTGCTACCAGTTAGTTAAAGATTTGCCCACTTATGTTCTATCTATTTCTGGTGTTGGTTGTTGGTAATGGATATTAAATTGACTCAACTGCAGTGATTGCACTCGACTATCACCACATCAGTTAAATTAGAACTTAATTTGAATAAACACTAATTTAACCTACATTTTAATATTAGTGTTTCCTTCACACAAGATCTAATGATTATTTTATCATGATTGTATTCTTGAATTAAGCAGTGTCATATCTTCAGCAAAGGCCGTATGTCTCAGCTTTACGTAAATGTATGCTTTAACATGGGTTTATATTTATTAAACTATTCTGTCACGTACAGAGATTGCCATAAAATAAGAATGGCCAAGATATTTCAAATTAAGAGTTTTAAAATGTTTGTGATGAAGTGACAGATTCTTTGGGTTTTTAATGTGTTTTATTGTGAATCAGTCTGAATTATTAATTAGTAGGGATATGGAAGATCACAATCGGGTCACTTTTAATCCAATGTTCCCTTTTCGTAAAGGGACGTATGAAAACCACATAAAAAGAAAACGATAGCTGAACTCTGAGCTTAGAATTGAACTGGGTAGTTGTTGAATGCTACACATATCAATAAACAAAAGTATTTAATGAGATAAATTCGCTGTAGAATGATGTAAGGTGGCATCATTTCATTTATCTCGAAATGGGATTTCCCCAACAGAAAGTTGAGGTTATGTTACGTCATACTTAGTTTTCTGACCTAGAGTACAGCAGATGGTATAGCCTTTTGGGTAGGAGGGGGGAGGGACTGCCCTTTTCGTGAATGTGGGCAATTACGAGCCAGAACGCTCAGGAAAAGGGGGGGGGGAACCTCGGTACGTGAGGAATTTGTATTATTTACTCTCTTCACGTGAAATAAATTTGCTTCAAGCTCCAAACTACCACGTCCGGATGTGTAATTTAAGAGCGGGGAAATTCTATCGTCAACAGCTTGCCCTTTGGGGAGGCCGATATGGGGATAACTTATTAAACTTGTACAGAATGTCCCTAAAAGATGTATACACAATGCTGACGTACGTAATGGTTGTGTGTATAGATATTTTTAGGACACTATTCAGATGATCTCTGCTTTGAATCACATTCTTGTTAGCGTTCTTCCAAGAACTTCTTGATAAAAAGTTATGTTAATTTCTTATACTCTGTAGGGAACAGCGCACCGTGTAAATTGACTTCCTGTCTATCCCTTTAGAGCCAAATGTTAAATGTGTGTCCCACCTTCATCAATAATCAGTTCTGTATTTCGTAATTGTTTCTCTATGCAAACAGCGATCATTTACTTAACATTAACCAATTGATCTTCGTAATTGTGAAGAGTCGTGTTTTCTTTGCAGTACGGACTGATTTCTTTACGAGCTTCGGCTGCAAAGAGTGGTTTGAGTTAACTCTAAAGAACATTCCGATCAGGTAGCTTAAATACTGATCCGTAACATTAACCAATTGATCTTCGTAATGGTGAAGAGTCGTGTTTTCTTTGCGGTACGGACTGATTTCTTTACGAGCTTCGGCTGCAAATAGCTGTTTGAGTTAACTCTAAAGAAAATTCCGATCAGGTAGCTTAAATACTGATCTATTGGCTGTTCGCCAGGGTCTCGCCATAAACCATTCTGCATGTGTGATACGTACACGTCTGTTTCTGGTAGAGCATGAAGCGTCGATATGGAAATGAAATGCACTTTAGATTATTAGTGATGTTATAATTGCTGAGAACATCTTCGCTTCAGTTATCTGCCTGCAGATGACCTTTCAGCATGTCAGATGGTCCATTGCGCTCGTGAGAAATTCTGAACTGACATCCGAGCGAGAGGAAACCGTTCTTGGAATAGCTGGAACACTTGCATAAGCGGTTCTTCCATCTGCAATTGATAAATACGTCGCTAAGTACTCTGTCGGTTTCGCGCTACGAAGTTAAACACTGGCTTGGTTGTTTATTCACACTTACTTGCCCCATATGTTGCCAGCTAGATGAGGCATCTGAGGTTTCCCCTGACGTGAAAGCGTGGGACGCTGTGTAGTCTTATATGTGGTTACAAGCGTTTCGGAGAGACGTTTTACTTTCATCTTCGGGGTTGTAAAGATGGATGCAGCGTGTTATTTGCACACGGCATGGGAGGGACAAACATTTTTGGTTGGGAATCCTACAGGAAAGAGAGCACTCGGATGACGTAGGAGGATAATATTAAAATAGATGAGATAAAGTGAGAGGATACGGATAAGATCAATCTGGCTTAGGGAATGGATAAATGGCAAGGTTTTTCAAGCAAGGTCAGTAAGGTGGGGAATTTTTCTAGCTGAATTACTTTTATTATCTCGTGAAGGACTCTGGTCCATGATGGTTTGTCGTCTTATTAATTTTTTTATGAAAGGTATAATTTATGAAGCCTCTGATGATGCAATTTCCTGCGGACTGCTTCGACGTTCTCCCTCTTACGTCCAAATATTCTCCTCGGCACCCTGTTTTCAGATACGATGTGCCACGTTGTTTTGGAAGGTACTTAAATTTAGATCTGAACGCCATGCAATGTACTTGTTACATGGAACTGAAGCCAATCAAAAATGAATTCACCGCACAACTTTTGATGCAAGTCCTCTGTACAAAATTTTATCGATGTGAGTGTGGGCAGACAGGCATCTCCCCATTTTGCGTTCATTTCATGCACTTTGTTTAAATAGCGCTTATGAACGAAATCGCTTACGTTTTACAGAATAAAACTCAATATCAACCCATATATAAAAAAGTTACTTAAGGCTGTATTTTAAATTGTTAACGAATACGGGAATTATTTGAAGTAATGTCGAGGGAGTTTTAATGACCAAGTTTATTTCCATCGAGAAATGACATTTGCTGGGCAAGGGGATATGGTCCCATCGTCCCCTGCGAAAACGCAAAATTCAAAATCATCTTATAATTTATTGTGCTAACATGCACTTGGCGCAGTGTCATTAAATAAACCACTAAAAGCAAACTTTGCAACTTGGGACAGACTTCAAGGGTTTCTGAAAAAAAAAAGGTTGGACATCCCTGCTGAAAACTATCTTTCGTACTTCATGTGTGTGAGCGATCTCAATTTAAACATATGGAAATGGTTTGTTTAGTTTGCAGTCAGTTTATTCGTTTGTTTTGTACGCGCATTACCCCGACAATAAACGAATGTAAAAGCAAACATCTCATATCGCGTGTGAACTTCGATGTTTTACATCCATTTCCTTCACATGTAATTACTCAGATCTACTGGTTTGGTTCCCAAGACATTTAACGACGCTGCATCAGCTGCACAATTTTTCATTGTTTCATTCGGTAGTTAAATCTGAATAATTGCATTTCGATTACAATTTGTATTTAGAATTGTCTTAAAAAAATTTCCGCGAAAACTTATTTCTGACATCAATTGGACACAGACTTTTGTTTTAGGTCTTGTTTTGAAATGTATTTTAATACGAAATAAAAAAGTGTGATATAATTTACATGTTTAATAAGCTTTGTAGCGATAGTCCTAGACTTGTATTGAGGAGTACTCGGTTTAAATCCCGGCCATATTACTGGTTATTTTCAGTGACGTTTTTCATAGTTTTCCTCAGTCTTCCCACTGGTTTTCTCCAGTCGGTCATTACCACTGTGCTTCAAACAGTAAATGCAAAAGATCGGCTTAGTT